GGGGGGTGGGGGGGGGGGGGGGGGGGGGGGGGGGGGGGGGGGAGGGGGATGTGACGCGTCCTGAATAATGCATCGTTTTGTTTGAGCCCCGTGGAAGGGATATGTAGGTCTCACGGTGCATTCGAAGACTTTTGGTTCATGCTGAGGCACGTAGAATGCATCAGGAAGAACACCTTCTCGAGTTGTGTGTTGATTTCTCTTCATGCTGTTGTTGTTGTTGTTGTTGTTATTCTTTGCGTTGACTGTTGCGGTTAGACTATTACCATGTCGTCGTCGTTTTTGTCCTTGTTGCTGTTTTCCTTTCCACTGACTCTTGCGGTTATTGTCATGTCGTTGTTGTTCTTGTCACCTTTGTTCTTTCCATTGGTTGTTACGTTTTTGTCACATGGTGGTTGTTGTCGTATGTCGTCGTCTTGAACTTGGTCGTCTTCCGTCGTCTAATGTCATGATTGTCAATCCACACGGGTGCCGGAAAGGTTTGTAGTTTGAACCCCGTTTGGTTGGGTATTTGTACGCTTCAGGGACTGCCATGATTGATCACAGTCGCCGTTTGTGGTTGTTGTTGCCGTGGTTGTCGTCGTCTGTTGTTGATGCTGGTTATGAGTGCACTAGTCTAGATGTGTGGTATATGCGCGCAAGGGTGTGAAAAAGCTGGAGCTTCGTGGCTTAGGAGCCCGTTTGGTTAGGTGATTGGGACGCTTGGCTTGTAAGTATGGTCATGACTTCTGATTGCCATTCGTTGTTGTTGTCGTCGTCGTCTCTAGTTAATGTTAAAAAGTGCAAAAGACGTTGATTTTGAGTACACAATGGCGGGTGTGAAAAAACTTCATAGTTTGGAACCCATATGGTGGTATGTTGGACGCTTGTTGTGATCGGTGGTTGCCGTCCGTTTTTATTGTTGCCGCCGTCTTCGTCGTCGAACATTTTGTCGTTGTTGTTATCCCCTGTCACGTGCTCAAGTTCATGTTGTTCCTTGCACAGAGAAGGGGAGCGTGGCGATAATGCCAATTAGGTGGAGACCGCGCGTCCTATGTTTGTGGTTCATGGAACTAAAAACATTTCTTGGGTCTTTCTCGCACCCCCAGGGCAGGGAGTGGGGTTGGCTTGGGTCGGTGAAATTAAAAAACCCAGGGAGTGATTGCGCGCTCCTCCTTTGATTCTTCGTGTGAACTCGAAGTAGTGCCCTCTTTCAGGTCGTCACCGTGTTGGTTTGTCGTGGCACTCTGTTACGATCTCTATTTTGCTTGTTGGAAGTATTTTATTCAGTCAGGAGTGCACAGCAGTAGCACATTTTGGTATAGTCTGTTGGTTCTTCCGTTTTACTCTCGGGCCCCGTCCTCCTCACACCACGCTGCCTGCTTCGTCTCTCTCTCTGTTTCTGAACTACCCTAGCATTCCGGTATGTGTGCGTACCCTGAAGGACGGTCGGATTTTCCCGAGTCAAAATAGTTCTTCTTGTTCGTATGCATTTTCTTCCATTCTTCTGCGTTCATGCTTCGCAGAGTAGAGTGAAGCAAGATCATAACGGCCCGTTTTTTTGGTCATGATGCCCAGGCAGCAAAAGGCTAGCCTAAGATGGCATTTTCTGGCATCTGATGCAGTAGGTAGTCGTCACAACCAGTGCAATTCATTTGTAGTGTTGTAAACTCTGTCGCCGTGTGGTGGGGAAATTGAAGTAGTGTGTGCCGTGCTCACGTATCTATTCTGGTGATGAAGGTAAGAATGTCCATTGCGAAGTAAGTATTGATGAAGCCGTGCGCAGGAGGCCCATCGAAGGGTACTCATGCATGCATGCGTTTTTCTCATATGCACGTCTCGGGGGGAGAGACTCGCTTCGTATGTATAGTCAGTCGTGATGATGCTGCGCTGCTTACCTATTTGTGTTCGTTTACACCCGATTGCTCCAGCTGTTGTCGCGTGGCGCAAACGGGACGGAAAGCAATGACAAGTATCGGGGAGTACACATCGGTCACAAGCGACCCACCCTAGTATCGTAACAAACGTTTACTTCGAAGTATATCGAAGAAAATGACAACACAGGAACAACCCGTCGCACATGGATGGGCCGCAATCGTACAGCAGGCTCCCATGGGAGTGGGAGAGAGGCAGCTACACGGTGCGGCGAATCTAGCGCAGCCCAATAAATAAGAAACTTTGTGCCACCTTTCTTGTTTCTTCTGCCCTTTCCTTACCTTGGAAAGGTGCCGGGATTATTGTCTACCACGCTGCAGCATCAGTCCGCGGACTGCTTTGCTGTAGGCTACGCACGTCACGAGGCCATTCGCCGCTGTGTCGTGTTCGCTGCCGCGTATTGGACGCGCTATCACTTGAGAATAATGTGGTAGTTTACAAACGTAACGAGTTTTGACCATGAGAACAGGCTCAAACGACCCAAACTCAACGACTTCTACCAGAACATAAAGCTCAAACAAACCCAAACTTAAGAACTTGACTGAACAGGCTCAAACAGTTCCAAACTCAGGAACTTGAACAGACTTTACACACTTGACCATATGGAACAGGCTCAAACAGATCCACACACAATGAGAAAGCCTTCATGGTTCGTCGCTCTTGGCCAAGGACATAAGAAACCGAGCTTGCTTCGGGTATCGCCTTCTGAGGTTGCAACAGACCCCTGAAGCTCAACAGCGCAAAGCACGCAAAAAAACAGCGAACGCTAGCGGATCGCTTCGCACAACGATTGGCACAACCTGTGCTCATCTTTTACCCCGCTGTATGCCAGGCTCTCACCCCCACCGTACGCAGATAGATGGGGTACCAACCGGGACAAGCCCCCAACATTGATGGAACATACAACCCGGGTGGGCCGAGAAGGTTCACGACACTTCACGAGCATACCACCCACCAACACACGAAACACTCGCCTCTTTTCCAAAGGGTCTCTCGTGCGTAGTATGTGTGTAGCGTGTCTGTCTCAGCTCTGACACTAAACCGAAAGAAGCCAACGATCGAAACAAAAACGCAATATAAAAGTAAGAATCAATGGCCACGCTTCAGAACTCACTAAACAGTGGCAGAGACTTGCCACCTACATAAACAAACTCTTTATTAGTCACCGCCGCTGCTACACTAATGGGGTGACGCCGCAACAACTGCATCGTTCCTTTCATAAACGCTACGTCATCTATCAATGGTGCCCGCAGTTTTCTGATTGGTTAACAGGCAATACTGCCGCCTCGAGAGCTTCGATCGCACAACGTGCGCAAAACCCTAGAGGGGCATGCAGGGGTGTGTATGGGCGGAGAGCATAGACCCTTCCCCCCCTGATGACTTCATAAATTCCAGTAGGGGGCAAACAAGCGACGAACCGAAGTAACGCCCTGCGTCCCTGCCCCCCACCCCAGTATGGACACGAAAATATCCAACTCGCCAGCAAACGCACACGCGGATCCCACTTGCGGCCTCTCCATCTCTTCTCTCTCTCTCTCGCTGTCTGTCTGCTATCTTACCTCAGGCGCGCGCCATCCGCCACGCAGTTACGTTCACTCAACACACAGGACACACACGTGCTTTCTTTGGGTTGGGTGAATACCATCGTTTTGCGCAGCAGCACACTTGCATACAAAAACAGCTCCCGGTAACAAGAGCATTCAACGACAAATAAAGCCAACCAAAAGTCTAAATCGATAAAATATTCACCTGTAGATTCCCTTCCGCCAAGCAACAACAACAAGAGCGGCCGACCGTGCGCAACAGCGGCATGCGCGGTTTTTATGTGGGGCGGACAACACACTCCAAGCACGCACTGCTGCCACCACCGCCGCGCGTGTGCCAAAACCGACCGTGCCTTTCCGTGAGAGAACGAAGGACGACGTCGGAGTCGTGCTCATCTGGCCAGCATCGAAGCCCCCCCCCCCCTCCCCACCCCACCCCCGCGCCCCCCCCACGTGCTTGATACAGAAACGACGGGAGCGCCCGCTCCCAACGCCAAATCGACCGCACCCACGGGATTCGGTCAATTACATGTTCCTGGGGTCCAACCCCCCCCCTCCTATGTGACCCCGGTTGGGTCGTCTAGCTGGTAGAAGTGGAGGATAGGGGCCAGAGGGGCAGATGACAGAGTCCAATGATGGGATAAAAAACAAAAAAAGTGTGACGACGGGTTGGAGTAAACGGCACCAGTGCTGTGAGCGCTGATTTGAAGTGAAAAAAAAAAAAAAGGATGCAAGAGTAAAAGTTGCGGGACCCGGACACACTCCGCCCTTGGTCGAGAGAACGCAACCCCGATCCCCGTCCATAAAAAGCACCACCAACATGCCTACGTACGGTCACTCCCAGGTGAACCGCTGCACTCCGAAGCCGCGTTCTTTTTGGCTTGCGAGAGCGCGAGGACGCGGGAAATGCAAGTCTTGTTCCAACCGCCCCAAAGCCGCCGCACGATATTGTAGCAACTCTGTTAACACGCAAAAACGCAACAATTTGGTGTCGTGCAGGATGTAGGCAAACGTCCAGACAGAGACGAGCAAGACGAGGCTCCGGACCGGGCATGCCCTCCACCAGACCCTGCTCGAAACGCCGCTCACGTTTGCAATGCCCACCCTGCCCTGCGACCAAAGGAGCTTTCTTCCTTTGGTTTGGTTCGGACAACCCACCCTTGTCCTCTGTTCCCGTCGGGT